ACAGTCTATGTTGTTTGGATATTATAATATATAGTAATTTTAGGTAAGTCCCTTAAAGTTGGAAGCTAGATCTTCTTTTTCTGCTTTATTTAAAACTTCCTATGGGGAGCTGGAGGTGTAGCTCATAAGTAGAGATCTTTCCTGGCATATGTGAGGCCCTGGGTCTAATCCCTAGCACCAAAAAATCCACAAATGAACATACAAACAAGTCTAACAACAACAAAACTCAAAAAACACCGTGAATAAACACAAAACACAATGTTTTGGGAGATATGGTCTGTTAAACTTAATTTAGAAGAAGTAAAAGGCATTTGGTGTCTGTAAGATGAGGGCCTGATGTTCTGGGTGAGATATCACTGCTGTGGCCAAAGGGAAGCTTAAATGGGAGAGATTATCTAGTGTTGGTGCTAAGGATAAAGCTCACAAGGCTATTGTGGAATACATGAACACTTACAGAAGAATATAGATATAAGAGGACTTTCACAGAGTAGAGTTGGAAAAATTCTCCTGTTGCCAGGTTGCTTACACAGGCCTCCTATTCAAAAAAAGTATATAAAGTTCAGGTCATTCCAAAGGTCACTGGGCAAAAGTCCAATTCCTCTGTGGCACAGAAGTCCTTTCCTGGAGGAATGCCAGAGGCTCAGAGATTCTTTTTATTCTCCAGTGTTTTTAGATGGAAACTTGCTTTATGCAACTTTATTTCTTGAGGATGTTTCTCCGAATATCTTTCATCACTGAAGATGCTGCAGTTGTTTTATAGATGATATGGATCTAAATCGGAGGAGATCCAGTGAGCTTCATTCCTGAGATATCAAAGATAAGCAAATACATATAAGACAAAATAAGCAGAGGAAGGTGCCAACCGAAATGACCAGACATAGAGAGCAGGCTGATTCAGTAGTCAGGACAAAAGAGAGACACTGTCACCAGGAACTTCCTTCTTACCTCTGCTTGGAGCTGTACTTCGCCGACATACATGGGTGCTGTAGACAGTAAGGAAGTGAGGAAGTAAGTGGTGGACTTCCCAACACAAACCTGGCTTCGAAATTTGATAAATTTGAGAGCAAGGAATAACAGATACACATTTTGCTTATCCACTGGATGTAGTTGATACACGTTTGCTATGAGAGCCAATTCTGTAAGAGCAATTGTGATTTTCAGTGAAGTGTATGTAGTCCTACTGTATTTTTTGTTTATTGAGGTGCTTGGGGTAAGCCCAGGACCTTACCCATGCTAAGGATGTGCTCCGCCAATGAGCTACACTTCCAACCCAAGAAGTGTATTTTTAGTGACTGATATCATCCTGATATGCTCAATTTGGGATCTAATCATTCTTTTTAAAATTTATGAAGATATATGAACTAACAAAGCAAATATATCTTAAATGCCTAAGTATTTAAGGAAAGTATTTAAAGAAAATGGTGGCCTGAATGTGGTGGTGCATGCCTGTAATCCTAGTGCTCATGAGGCTGAGGCAGGAGGGTTGTTGCAAGTTTGAGGCTAGCCTTGGCTACATAGTGAGTTCAAGGACAGCCTGGACTATATAGTGAGACCCTGTCTGAACCTCCTCCCCTCAAAAAAAGTAAAAACCAATTTTGGTAATTAAAGATGCAGGAGGAAATCTCCCTTGAATAAATGAGTACTAGTTAAAGTGAGTCAACAGAAAAAGATCATATATTTTTATTCTTGTTATCATAGACTCCATATATCTTATATTGCTAATTATATTGCTTTAATTTTCTTAAAATAGATATGTATCCCTTAGGCATAATAAAATAAGATTGTGTGTCTCCAAAACTTACCTTCTTCCTCTTTCTTTAAATGGTATGTCAAGAAAGGGAAGTCTGGTGATCTCCCTGGTACTAAGACAGTTTGTCCTAAGAAAATGTTGAAAATGCTGCTTGAAATTTTACCCTCACTGGATTTGGCTTTTCAAAAAGGGAAGTTTTGCCTTTAAAGATAAATACCGTATCATATATTATTATGTCACAATAACTGTTTCCATATCTGCCTGCATTGGGATGATGATTTGATGACAGGTTTCCTTCAGGTGCTCAGCAAGAGGTCCATTGAACACCTATGGAGAACTCATAGTTAAGCTTGGAGCTATTGGTTAATCCAGTGCAAAGTATTTGTTGGGCTCCTACACCCTGCTAGACATCAGAAAGCAAAACAAGAAGTATAGTGAGCATCCAGGTAACGAGATAAGCTATGAGCAAATAAGCATATATCAGTTTGAGCAGTGCTGTTCTAGATGTGAATGATTGGGAAGAAGTAAGGAAGCCATTATTCTGAGGTTGGGTGAAAAGAGCTCTACAGAGAGTAAGGGATACATGATCCTAGACCTTGACGGAGTCAGATGAAAATAATGGGGAAATAAACGAGTAGATGAAGTGGTTGCAGGAAAACTTGAACCAAGAGATAAATTTGAATTGGTGGATGATAGGAAGCAATTAACTATAGGCTAAGGAGCAGAAGGAAGGCATGAGTGTGAGTTGTTAAAGCAAAGTTAGACATAGCATGTTGGTGACAGAAGTTGGCCTCTGAGTAGACTTTGCAGCACCAGTCAAATGGAAAGTGACAAAGAGACTGGGTTGAGGGTATTAAGAAAAGGACTGGAGAAGAAAGGAAGGCACACAGCCTGTGCTTTGTACCTGAAGGAGGCAGGTGTCTGCTGAAAGAATGATTGACTACTTAAACCATTAATATGACTTGTTGATTACTGAAAAGGGGTGACTGTGAAATATAACTTTAAGGATTTGAACGTGAGTGACAACAAAGAAAGAAAAAGGTGTATTATTACAATGAAAAGGGTTGGGAGGCAGCAGAGATGAAGTGGATCCAAAGACAAATTGACTTGTTATTGTCAGCTCCCACAAGGTAGAATTTTGCTCCTTCTCTGAAATATAGGAGTTAGAATACAGTGATTTGTCAATGCATGTTAATAAGAATCTAATAATGGGGGCTGGGGATTTAGCTTAGTGGCATAAGCGCCTCTGCCTGGCAAGTGCAAGGTCGTGAGTTTGGTCCCTAGTACCACACACACACACACACACACACACACACACACACACACACGAATCTAATAATGCAAGTAAGTATGGGGAGACAAGGGCATAGTCTGGGCTTCTCTGATGTTCTAAGGTAGCTCATGTTGGGGATTCTTCTCAGTGTGCTTTTTTCTTTTAGCTTCTTTGGCCTCAGTTTCCTCATCTAAAGGATGGGGAAAGTGACCTATGGCTGACTTAACACCTTTCTTGTGTAAATAACTAGTGACTCTATTCTTTGACTGATATTTTTGGTCCTTCAAAAAAATTTAAAAAGAACAACTCTTCTGGCCTCCCTCCTCTCTAGTGGGAGGAGAAGACATGAATGTATGAGGCACAGAGAATCTAAGGGCCTTGTGAGCTGAAGGGCTGTGTCTCACTTGTTTGATCCCATTGCCATAAATGGAAGTGGTGTCTGGAGTGTTGTTTTTGCCATGTCTCCTGGACTTAAATGGAACTAAATTCTCTTGCAAAGATGGAGAGGAGAGCAAAGGGGAGGGGGTGTTGGGGTTGGGAGCTGGCTGCTAGTCTGTGTACTGAAGGTCCAAGTTCAAATTGCTTGCAAGAAAGCTTCGGTTCAATTTTTGTCCTCGCATAATGGGGCTGTTGTGTGTCCAGAGGCTGGGAGAAGGCAACTGGATTCCTAGAGCTCAATGGCCAGCATCTTTTTCATTCCTTTTTGATTCTCTCTGTGTTAGAGACAAATCTTACAGGACACATATATTTCTATTAGTTTCCCAGGCTGCAAACTCGAAGAAACAATCAGCACATCCACAAGTCCACACCCCTCATTAGCACGTAGCCTCAGTGAGTTGTTCAGCAAGTATGTGAATGGAGACTTTCAGTGAGATGAAAAGCAGTCAAACACTTTACCGTTCCTTAAACACTTACTCTGCCTATGATGACCATTTTAGGTGGGTGATTTCCTGGGCTACTGGTTTTTTGGGGCTGTGTTAACTTAATTTTGTAAAGTGTCCCTACTAGAATGTGTTGAATAAAGGCCCATCTGATTTCAAAAGTCCAGAGGGCTTTCTGTGCCTATTGCTTACAGGATCTAATCAGATGGTTCTTAAAATGCTTCCAACCCTCTTTTTGGGAACAATTTCTAAAGTGATAATTTTTTTTTCACTAAGCCTCTGAATGATAACTTTTTAAACATGAAATCTTTTTATACACAGTGAAGCTTATGCAAGTTATCACAAAGGGAAACTGAGGTTTAGAGGTGGGGATGTGTGGACGCCTTTAGATGTAATGATAATAGTTGGCATTTATTTGCTACTCTGTGCTAGATACTGTTAGAAGTACTTTATGAATTTAAATAACTTAATTCTCTATAAGGTAAATATTATTATCTTCATCAACTTAAAGGTAGGGAAACTGATCCTATATAGCTTAAGTAATAAAGCTGATACGTGATGGAGCCTGGTACTTATAGTCAGACACTGATCAAGATGCTCCTCTAACTTTCACAATTTCTTCCTCTTGATTTTCTGACGGTCATGGTATATTTTAATTCTGAATAGACCACTTTAGTATTCACTGGTATACTTCAAGTCCCAGGTGTGAATAGAAAGTAATGAGAGAGTAAATCAGGGTGAAGAGTAAAGGCAGAATTCAGGGCACCAAGTCCACACTTACATACACAGGCATATGCACACATTTAACACACAACTACATACACACATGTGTACAAGCCAGCCCACTAGCTATATTCACATCATTCATGTGCTTCCAGAGGCTCTTTTCTTGCTAGGTTATACATAGATCTTCCCTGAAGGATTAATTCTTCCCCATCCAGGTCGTGGGAAGGGGAAGGAAGGATGTGGCTTCCTTTTGAAGGGCCTGCCAGAAAGCATGTCTGGAGAGGAATACATCAAAATTGATCAATATGAATTGTAAGTGTAATCAGCAGCTCGCAGGTCACATAAAGAAAACACTCTTATCTTTTAGGAATTCAGTATTGATAAAAGCAAATGCTGATTCTTTTTTTTTAAATCACTAGTTGATGTTTACATATTGTCGTTTTACAAATAGTTGTTCAAGATACAAAAATGGAACATGTAAAGTGGGGATTCAAACAGTGAGATTTCAACCAGTTCTGTTCAACTGTCCAACAAAAACTAGAAATATGATTATCAATCCTATACACTTAAACATACATGCAGTTATCCATATCTTCAATTATATTGAGAGTGAACAAACCCAAGGAGTCTAATATCACTCTGAACAAAGAATAGTACTATTGCTGGGTTTCACATTATGACCCTCCAGGATCAGCACTGGGTACTTTAGTGTCTCTTTTTCTTCAAAGTATCTGTTCATTTCATCATGTGTCGTAAGATCAGTTCTCACAAACTGTTTATAGATTCTACACATGCATGAGTCTTAACATGTATTTCTATCCTTTCTATATTAGAGGGAGAAACAAAACAAAACAAGACAAAAAAACATATTCCTATAAACACAGGAAATCAAGAAAAACATGTAAGACCATTGTACAAAGAGCTACCATGGTTCCTGTGTTGTCTCTTGTTATCTCCAATAGAATTGGCTATATCATTGGACATAGTATAATTGAATATATCGGTATATAACAGTATTAATAAAAACAAAACTTTGTATATAGTATAGCACTTCAAAAACTGGCAGTTATCAAACCAGAATGTGTATCGTAGAATACTGTCATCTTCAGTGTAGTTGCCTATACTCTCAGACTTGATACTATCAATCATATCAGTTTTGAATAAAATCTTCTCTACCTCATTTCTGTTATGCTCTTTTTTTGCCATCAGTTGTCTGCTTATCTTCTTCATTCTGTTTTCTGCTCCATTCTCTGCCACTATTCCTGGAATCCTAGTACTTTTCTCTCTCTCTAGAATGCCCTGCACTATTCTCTGTAGAGTTGGATTGGTGGTTGCGAATTTCCCAAGTTCCTCTTTGTCTTGGAAGCATCTCGTTTCTCCATTAATTTCTAGAGACAGTTTAGCAGGGTATATCAATCTGGGCTGGAGGTTATTTTCTTTCAGGGCTTGGAATATTTCGCTCCAGGCTCTTCTTGATGGTTTGTGTTGAGAAGTCTGTCATTATTCTGATGGGCCTTCCTCTATAGGTGATCTGTTTCTTGTCTCTAATAGCTTTTAATATTCTGTTCTTATACTGAATTTCTGGGATATTGATTATTATATGCCTGGGTTTAGTTCTGTTTTGGTTGTAGGTGCTGGAGTTCTGTATGCCTCATATATCAGAATATCATTTCCTTTTCCTATGTTTGGGAAGTTTTCCTTAATTATTTCTGTGAATAACCTTTGTAGTTCCTTTGTTTGTACCCCAGCTTCTTCATTCACATTCTTTATTCTCAAGTTATAGATCCTCTTGTCATCTTCTAGCCTTTGTATTGTTACTGCTTGTTTCCTTGTTATTTTTAAAAAGTTTTCCCTTTCATACTCCCACATTGCAAAATTGTCCTCCAGTTTGTATAATCTATCCTTAGTTCCTTTCAAGCTGATTTGCTGTCTTTCCATAGAGTTTTTAATTTCCTGGTAATCCCTTTGAATCTTCTGGATCACCCCTTTTGACCAGGTTACCACAAATTCATGGCTGTCTGTCGATGTAGGCACCCTGCCAACTCAGCTTTCCATTTGGCTCACCAATCTCCAAACTCAATGTAACTGTGCCTCCAGTGAGTCCAAGTGGCAGGACCTCGGACAAGTTGGCAAGTCACTGTGGGACCTCGGCAAGTCATGGCAGGACCTCAGCAAGTTTCAGCCAGACCTCGGATGGTCAGCAAGTCACCTGCTGTAGCGGGAACACTGAACCTTTAGTTGTTCCAATAATAGCATGGGACTGTGTGTTTGGTTGGCTCTTCTCAATTTATTTTCTTCTTGGGACAAGAGAATTCATTTCCCTCTGTTTGGGGCTCCCCACTCTGTATTATGTTGAATTCTAAGTTGACTATCTCAGGGAGCCTCTGTAGCCAGTTGTTATCTATCCATAACCTTTGCTCCTCTCTCCGCAAACGCTGATTCTTTTGTATTGTCTCTCATACATGTCTACAACCCAAGACCCCAAGATCACATTTTGTGACACATTTTGTGATATGCTGTCATGTATACTGCAGTATCTTATATTCTAAATCTAAAAAGAACTCAGTTCTTACAACTATGCAATTGAATTTCATGTTGTCATTAAAATGAATGAAGATGTATTAACACTGAAACATACCTATGATATATTTATTAGGTGGCATACACTTATGGTATGCATGCTATGATTCAATTTATGTAACAAAGATAAAACGTATATCCATTCTGAGATCAATTATTCTGTTTTGAAGAGCAGGCTGCTTTAAAGCAGCAGTGGGTTTTCTATCTATGAAAAAGACAAACAGTGATCCTCTCTTTGCTGAGCATTATGGATAAACAAGGTTACCCAAAAAGCATACTAGCCTGTGAGGTCTGGATCAAGCTTCAGCTACCGAGACCTTGCTGGCCTGCTGATAGGCTTGTCTGAATTGGTCATATTCTGACAGATCCCAGTAGTTCGCTTGCCAGATCTGTTATCAGCTTCTTCCCTTTTGCCTTGAACTAGGCCAAGGTCTCCTGGAGAAGTACCATGCTGTTGTCTTTCATATCAAGGCCTTCATTGAATACAAAATGATCAGGCAATGCTAAACTCTGACTAGTGTAACTGACCAACCTTCACCTCTCCTTATCAGAGTCTCAAAGTGGAGGACACTGTTACAGGAAAGACTTAAGTCTCTGGAAAAGGTAGACTTGAAGGATGATTTGCCATGTCCAAAAAGAGCCATTCTCACTTAGACTACTTCAGAGAATTTTAATTTTCTGGATTACAGATGAACTTTCTGTAGATTTTCTTGGGCTCACAAGAATTTCATTTCAGACCATTTAATGTTTTCATTTTGATAAGAGATACCATCTTCACATCTCTTTCATGTGGCCACTCCTCCTTCTTCACATATCATTTTATAAATGGATGAGACAGAGAATCAGAAAAGTTAAGAGTCTTCCCCGGTGAATGGCCAGCTTTCCCATTGCTGGGACAAATTGTCTGACATACACAGCTCAAAGAAGGATATAGTTTATTTGGCTCATGGTTTCAGAGGTTTCAGTCCATGGCTGGCTAGTTCTATTTCTGGGGGTCTGAAGTAAGACAGAACATCTTGGTGGAAGAGCAAAGCTGCTTACTTGGTGGTGGTCAGGAAGCTGAGAGGAGCACAAGAGCGAAAGAATAAGGGATTGTGGATCAGATATCATACCTGAAATCACACTCCCAATACTCAATTCCTCCAAGTGAGCCTCACCTCCAAATACCCTATTCAGCTATGAACTCATCAGTAGGTTAGCCCATTAATGGGGTTAGTACCATCAAAATCTCTCCGGAATATTTCTCTCTTTTTCCTGTCCAGGGGATTAAACTCAGAGATTCAGTACACTGAGCTATATTCCCAGACCTTATTTTATTATTTTTTAAATTTTGAGTTAGAGTGTCACTAAGTTACCTAGGTGGGACTTGAACTTGAAATCCTCCTGACTCAGCCTCCCTAACTGCTGGGGTTACAGGCATGCACTATCATGTCCAGCTCCAGAAGTCTCTTAATCAAGTCAAGTTGACAGTCAAGATTAACCTTCAAATCTCCAGCCCATCCATTTGTAGCAGAGGAAGATAAACTCAAGTTCAACTCCAAACTTGATAAATTTCTACATTATGCTAGATTATTTTTTCAAATGCAAATGCAAATGTAATGTATTGTCTAACAAGGTAGCTTTCTAATAAACAGATGATCAGCGCTGAAACATGCTGAGAGTTGTATCTTGTAAGACTCAGTAGCTGTACTAAACTCACACCAGGTGTGAGTGGGAAGTTTCATTTACTCAGCTACTAAATGAGTAACATTTGGAAGTTAATTGAGTATGCTATGAGGTCCTAGGAAAGTGTTGCTATATCCCCAAAATTCCTCATTTATGCCTAGGATATAAGTCTAGCACTAAAAAGGATTTTCTCTGATTGTGTTCAGAGGTCTGTGAAATAAACTAAGCAGATCCATTCCTCTCTCCCACTCTGAAGCCCATGGCTGGCTCTCTCTGCTCTCATTCCCCAGAGAAGGCTAGGATACTATCAGAGCTTTTGGCTCAGGTCTTGAAGATAGTCAAGTCGGTCTTGACTATCAGTCAGGGCTGATGGATATCTGAGAATCGTTTCTCTGCTGATCCTATCTTCTCACAGTAAAGCTGATCTGTGCAGTTTGTAAGGGCTCAATTCCTCATTGTCTTTTGTACATGATTTTAAATATTTAAGATACTTGAATTCAAGTGAAGTATTTGTATAAATTAGAGTCCTCTAAAAAGACAAATTAAGATTCTTTTTGTTAATTTTAAAGAGAATAAAACAAAAAAAAAAAAAACAGAACAAAGCAAATCAGAGCAAAACAATGCAAGTAACACAGGATTTCAAGACAAGATAACAGGAAATCACCCGTGGCTACCACAATGTCTCCTGTTCTCCCCGAAATAGTTATCCATGTCTTTACACACCATGAATTCAACCAAAACAAAATAGTATAAAACCAATCAAAGCAAATTAATGAAAGCAATACAAGCCTTCAAAACCAGACAACCGGAAAATCAACAATGGCTACCATAATATCTCTTGTTCTCTTCAAAATAGCTGTCCATGTCTTCACACATATTGAAAGCAAATAATAGAAAACAGACTGAAACCAATCAAAACAAAGAATAAAAGCATTATTGGACTTCAAAACAAGATGATAGAAAATCAACAATGGCTACCGTAATGTCTTATTTTCTTCAAAGCAGCTATTCATACCTTCAAATCAATTTTTGTAAATTCTAGGCATGTGTAAGTCTGTACATGTACATCTATCCTTTCTGTATTATAGGGAAAAACAAAGCAAAATAAAATACAAGAAAAACAGGAAACAAAAGAGACAAATATATAACAGTAACAAAGAGCCCAAAACAATAATTAGGCCTTCAAAACAAAGTTGTAGGAACATAACTAAGGTTGTTGTTTTACATAGTTACCTTCAAAAGAGTTACTCAGATTACCAGATGTATGTATGCAAAATTGAACTAATCTTGTGAATGTTAACTGTCTTATTCCAAAAACTAATAGAATTAGTAGCACAATCATCTTAACTATCTTAGGTGTATATATACACACACTTATATCTTTTTTCTTTTCCCTTCTTTCTTTTCTCTATTTCCCTATCTGAGTTATTTTTCCCCTTTGAGCAGTTTCTTACCATTTCACAATGTTCACTGTAGATTTTGTATCTTACTTACTCTTTTGGTTTCTTGTGATTTTTTTTGGTCTTTTTTTCCCCTTTTTATCGGTACTGGGGATCGAACTCACGACTGCCTGCTTGCAAGGCAGGCGCTTATGCTGCTGAGCTAAATCCCCAGCCCCACTCTTTTGGTTTCTTATACTAGGAAACAATACAGTATTTAACCATGTGTGTTTGTTTGATTTATTTCACTTATGAGTATGGTCTCCTGTTGCATCTATTTGCCTATAAAAGCCTCGATGTGATCATTCTTTACAGCTGAGTAGTACTCCATTGCATAAAAATACCACATCTTTTTTATCCATTCCTCAGTTGATGAGCATTTAGGTTGTTTCAAAGATTTGGCTATTACAAATGGTGATGTTATAAACATGGGTGCACATATATCACTGTGGTATGATGTTTTCATTTCTTCTGAGAATATGCCCAGAATTGGAACAGCTGGGTCAAATTAGACTTCTAATTCCAGCTTTTTGAAAAACCTCCAGACTGATTTCCACAGTGGTTGCACCAGTCTACACTCCCACCAACAGTGCAGGAGAGTTCCTTTTTCCCCAGCCTCTCCAGAATTTGTTATTGATGGTTTCCTTGATGCTGGCCATTCTTTCTGGAGTGAGGTGGAACCTCAATGTTGTTTTAATTTGCATTTTTCTAATGACCAATGATAAAATTAGGATTCTTTAAAAGAGATGGTTTTCTAAATCTGGTTGCACCTTTGCATGGATGAATGTTTATTACTCAGAGAAATGTGTCATTAAAGACAGTGTTGTTCACACTCCTCCCCAACCCAAATAAAAATACATTTTAGACTTTTAATTTTGACTAAGATGAAGTAAGAGGAATGATATTTACTTTCCTATGTGGAACAAATAATAGATTGGATGAAATGTAGGAAACAACAATTTTGTAACACTAACTTTATCAGTCAGTGCATGAAAGTGACCCCTGAGAGAGGAAAAACAGATGGCGTAGGCCCTACAAGTAGCCCAGCCTACTTCTGGGGGAGACATTCCCATTATAGTGCAAGGAGGAGAAAGCCAGGGAGAAATTACTAGTTGAGGACATGCACACGGGGGTCTAGAGAGGACAACAGAGCTACAGTTTGCATAACACATCCATACCAGAGCAAGCTGGGTTTTGATGTATCCAGAGAAAGCTGTGGGAACCTGAACAGGCTCTTTCTGAAGTTTTCAACTAAGTGCTAGTCAGCTTACATTTGTGAGGAAACTACCTGGAGCTTAGGAAAAAATTACCAAAAAGTACCAAATCATTCATGTCCCTTGATGCCCCCAACCAGACTGAAACCATTCCTAATTATTGGGATTTGGGGCAGAGTATTTAGAAAGCTACTGCCTAAATTGTAGGACAAAATTGACCTTGTACTATGGGTAGCACTAGCTTCACCTAAAAATTTAAAAACAAACCTAGAAAGGATGAAACCATCTCTAAGTAAGTAACTTAACTGTGCTATAGAATAAAACTAAAAAATATTTATGGAAATAAAAGTTATCTAGTGCCAGCAAGGTAACTTAGCTACTTTTACTTAACTCATAAGTTAAAGGAGAAAAGGTTTATTTAGTGTCCAGTTTGTAGGGTTTCAATTTGTAATATCCAGCCCCAAGGCAGGTTGGATGGCAGACAGGCATTACAGAGGTGACACAGATTATAGCAAGCAGAAGGTAGCCAAGCAAGCAAGGGACCTTAATAGCTTCTTTCTTCCCCTTTTATACTCTTGGCCACTGGAATAAGGACAGTGCCAAACCAATCAAGGGGCTTGTTTAGTAATTATACACCCTTAATCCTAGACTCACACACTCTAGATTTGGCCACCTCTGAAAATATCCCACCTATTACTGAATGAGGCCTGGCAGGGGTGAGGAGCATCCAGACACAAGCCATAACACAAGGTAAAATTCATAAGGCCTGGAATCCATTCAGAAAACTACCTGGAATGTACAGAAGTAAGACTATGACTAATAATGAGTAAGATCAAAAGAAACAGCTGGTCATAATAGCTCATGTCTATAAATCCCATTACTCAGGACATGGAGGCAGGAGGATCACCAAGAGTTCTAACAGTCTGGGCTACTTAGTGAGTTCATGGCCAGTGTCAACCACACAGTGAATTCCTGTCTCAAAAACAAAGGCAAAAACAAAAACAAAAACCCAAAATAAAAACAAGAGAGACTTGGAAACTAAATTTTTGATAAAATTATTTGACAAAATTTAAATAAAAGTTTCAGTGTATCCCATGTGTTCTAGATGACAAAGAATGAGTGTTGTAAATAGAGATGAGAAAGATAGAAACAAAAACTACCCTAACAGAATCCTGGAGATAAAAATTACAATATCAGAAATAACAACAAAAAATACACTCAGTGAGATTAACAGCAGTTAGATGCCACATAACAGAAATAACAAAAGATTAATAAAGGAAGACAGCATAGAAATAGTATCAAGTGAAACATAAGGAAAAGAACATTTCAAAATATGAAAACATATCAATAAACTGTGGTCCAATCTCCATCAGCCTAATATACATGTAAATAGAGTCCCTGAATGACAGGAAAAAGAATCGACAGCAAAAATGTTATAAAGCATACCAGCTGAGAAGTTTCCAAATTTAATTCCTAATGTAAATTTCTAATCATAAGAAGCTTGATAAGCTTCATAACAAAAATATTCTCTACACATGAATAATCATACCAAGAAACATCATATCCGAATTGCTCAAAAGCAGAGCTAAAGATGAAATCTGAAAAATCTTCAGAAAAAAAGACATATTAATGTAAAGGAATAAAGACAAAAATGGCAGAAAGCAGCATATAAGAAAAAAAAAGCCATAAACTGGAAGGATATTTAAAACATTGACAGAAAAAAAAATCTGTCAAAAACTGT